GAGAGAGAGAGAGAGAGAGAGAGAGAGAGAGAGAGATGCAGATATGGTAAGGAGGCATCTAACCTGCGGCCCAGAGCCAGTAATCGTTGTGCGAATACTTCGGAGGTAAGATGAGCGTCATCCAGGGAATTGCAATAAGAGGGAAGAACTGGACAACAAGGTAGAAACGCAAGTCGTCTGTCCATCTGCATCAGCAACAAGAAGGAAATGAAAACATTGGAAAAGTCAAACAACAGGAAAGAAGAAGAGCACAACAAAAATATGATGGCGGATGGTACCCACCCATGAAGAACAAGGTGGTTGCGAGGGAGGGAGGCAAGGAGGAGTGTAAGGGGCAAGAGAGGGGAGGGACGAGTGAATACCAAGAACGGAAACCGGGAGGGAGGAAGGGAAGGAGGGAGGGCATACTCATGAAGAGTTTGCAATTTGGAGTACTGACCTCCAGTAGGCAATAGTCCCGATTCCGAAGGCCAAAAATGGAATCAGACACCTGGTTCCTGTTCGTTCGTCGATCCTCTCAATCACAAAAACTGCGAGGATTGACGTAAATGACACCGTCATCTGTAGAGTAAACAATCAGCACACCAGAGATTTTGCCACAGATGAGGGACTAAGAGCATGCAGAAACAAACCAAAAAAAAAAGAGCATGCAGAAACAAAACGAATTGTCAGCGAAAGAAACATACGTATGCTCCTTCAGGTTCCAGCTGTATAAGAGAAGTTCTCTCATGCGATGTTCTCATGCGCTCCTCCAGCACCTCAATCCATACTACGCTATTACTACCCTATATGTTCACAATGGAGGTGTGGAAGAAAAGACACGTAAGGACTGAACGTTTGAGGGACAGAACTAGCACATGAAAAGGTGGTGCAATCAGACTCGACTCCGGACTTGCTCACAACACATGCACACTTGAGAACCGATGGCAAAACCGAACTCTTCCAACTCAGAAACAATAATGAACTTGTATTAAACTCAGTATGAATCAACTGTACAACTTGCGGCTATGGCCACCGAACACTGTCTCCACCACCAGGCTCACTTCCCCACACTCTCGCATACACACACGTACGAGGATCACCCTGAATGTCCACGCTCCACAGTCACACACACTGTACACCTTGTCTGCACCAACAGCTGGGCGGCTATGGCCGCCGTCGCCTTCCTCCTCCTAGCTATGGCCGCCGGTGTCTCTCTCGCTCCGGGCACCTGCAGACCTCCACGCACAAGATACCAAGGCAGCTCTTCCGCATGGCACACAGGCAAATGAATGAATGGCTGGACGCTGCCTCCTTATTTATACCTCTTTGGAGGTACCCGGGCCTGCCTCAAAACGTGTGGACCTGGGCCAAAACGTGTGGCCCAGGGAAGTTTCCAGACGTTTGGCCTTCTGGGTCAAAACGTGTGAAACCCACAGTGTGCTCCAGAGCCTTCCCCACATGCAGCCCCTACCCCTGGTACTTGCTGACTGGACTGGCCTACAGGGACCTACGACCTTCTAGAGCCTACAGACTTACAGACAGACTCTAGGCCTCAGTAGACTCAGATAGGGACTTCTAGAACAGACCTTCCTAAGCCTAACGGTAACAGACCTAGTTCCTAATCTACAGACCTACGAATCAAGTCCTACTGTCCAACCTACAGACTAGCCTAGGACGTAGGGCACGTCTAGGGATCGAATCCTACTCAGGTCACTGGGTCTATGTACAGGTATAGGATAGGTCTAGGGATCGAATCTCACTCAGCACACAGGTTCAATGTACAGGGTTAGGGCACAGGTCTGGGGATCGAATCTCTGTGTCTGCAAAGTCGGGTCAACTGAGTGAAACCGTTTCAGGTGGAACCTACTCTTATGACAAGTTGAAGACAGGAGTGAGGCAGAGGGCAGTGACGACAATGACAATGATGATGACGACGATGACGAAGACGAAGACGAAGAAGAAGAAGACAAAAAACCGAAGATGAAGATGGAAGATGAAAACCAAGATGACGATGAAAGGCGGAAGACGAAGATGAAGACAAAAGACGAAGACAGAAGACGAGAGACGACAAAGAAGAAGAAAGAAGACAGCAACAGCAATGGTGAAGAAGATGAAGATGATGAAGAAGATGATGGTGACGATGATGATGAAGAAGAAGAAGAAGGCGAGGGTGAAGACAAAAGACGAAAGGCAAAAGAAAGATGAAAGAAAAAAAAACGAAAGAACGACAAAAGATAAAAGACCAAAGACCAAGGTGGAAGATGGAGACGGAAGGAGGAAGATGGAATACAAAAGACGAAGTGAAGACGAAGAGAAACACGAAAAATGAAAAATGAAAAATGAAAAATGAAAAACAAAAGATGAAAGACAAGGATAAAAGAGAAGATGAGCTGCGAAAGATGAAGACAAAGGAAGAAGAAGACAACAACAAAGACAACGACAACCCCAATGATGATGAAGAAGAAGAAAAAGGAGGAGGAGGAGGACGAGGAGGATTTGCCTTGGGAGCAGACAGTGGCAAGGTTCATTCAGAACTTTGCATTTGAAAAGCGGCGGAACGAGGCCCTAAGACAACTGTTGGTCTCGTGGCTTGCGTCCGCCCGTCTGCCTCAGGCACCGTCTTCCCCTGAATAGAACTTACGGTCATTAAAGCTGTATTTGGCATAACTTTCAGTCAGGATACAGCAATAAGGACCGCCAGTTCTATTCGGGAGAAGACGGTAGTACATAAGCAGCCAGAGTTGCTATCCCACAGTCCTTATAACCTAACAACCTTACCGATCAGGAACGCATCAGATCGCATTCGACTACAAGATCCATTCGCTCTTTCTGCGAATGCTTGCAGGGCTGCGGGTCTATGGTCTGCCGCATCAGTCAAATAAGACGCCATCAGTTTGCTGCCGTAATGCCTCCAAGAAGTGAGCACAGACATCCGCAGACACCCATTGGTTCTCTTTCAGAAATCCAATACCCAAAAAAAAAAGAAAAAAGAAAAACACAAGAAAACAAAAATCAGATACCAAAAATAAAAGAAAGAAAAGATAATAAGATAAGATGGCACTCAGTCTCCAAAACCTGGAATTCATAAGAAACCATTTAGTCAAAAAACGTCACATCACGCAGGTTATCCACACGTCGCCGACACAACCTTCTTCCTTCTGACATACACACATAAAACATAAAACTGAGAAATGGTCCAAGCTTTTCACTGGGAAAAGCTGGAAACAAAAAGTTGAAAAAACTCGTTTTCAGCAAAAGAAAAGGAGGCCACTCATAGCCAAGAAAAGTTACTCAAATCCCAAGTAAACCCACAGTTCGAAAATAAATTTCCGAAAACATAAAAAAGCATTATAAAGTAAGAAGGGTGTTGTCCCGGTCCCGGACATTGTTGCATGCTGAGAGGTCCACACACATGTACCTGTTGATGAGTTCAAATCCTGATCATATCAGATGAATACACAAATTTAGGGGCTGCCGGGCTATCCCCTTTACAAAGAAAGGGGGTCCCACACGTCGGGGGGGGGGGGGGGGNGGGGGGGGGGGGGGGGGGGGGGGGTTCAAGGCATCCGTTATAATTGGAACAACACAGAGAAGATTCGCATGGCCCCCGGGCCTGGAGAAAAATGCCACACAGAACTACCAGATGGTTCGAATTCGAGCACAAGAAAAACGACCTTTCATGTAAAATAAAAATTAAATTAAAAAAAACGACCTTTTTAAGGAAGTGGTTTCAAAAATATTTTAAAGCTCAGGAGTAGAGTAGAGGATACTCACCGGAAGTCGATCCCAGACGAGGCGGCCATCATTTGGAAGTAGATGGTAATAAGTAGATCCAAACGCGGTGGCGAATACACCGAGGAAGAACAGCACCCAGCCACAGGTCTCCCCAAAGGACCTAAACAGGAAAATCTGCCACCTCATGCCCCACCCATCAGAGAAGAATGGAAACCCCCCCCGCACCCCCACCCCCCACACACCCCCAAAAAGAAGAACACCATCGTCTTGACCCCCCCGCTCTTTTCCCATCGTCAACCCCCACCCAACGCTACAGCACCCAACCGGTGCACACACCAGAAGAGAAACGAGGACATACCTTTTGCACTCCAAGGCAAGGGCAAGGAAAGGGAGAAGCAAATGCACCAATCCCCCAAGAACAGTAAACAGGGAACCCAGGAGAACAAAAAAAAAAAAAAAAATCCCCAAACAAACCCACAGAACAAAGGGACCTTCGATTTAGGCATCTGATCACAGCTTCCAGAAACAAAAAATGAGGAAATGAAGACAAAATAACGGGGTTGGGGGAGCGGGGGCGGGGTGGCAGGGATGTGGGAACAAGCAACCAGGCAACGATCTTGTAAACGTATGCACTTGCAGCTCAGTTCACGAAAGGACAACAGGAGGGACTCAGTGGAGCTCAAGGTACTTCCTGCTATTCTCGCTCTCTTCCCATCGATTATGAAGAAGAGGGGTAAAGAGAGTGTGAAGGCAAGGACTACATGCTCACATGCGCGCCCCTTGGCACATTCTACAGTGTTGGGACTGCGCAAGTTTCAATGGGCCCACTGGTTCAAAACTGGTTGAAAATTTCAGATAGGCCAAGTCCCATGCCATATCCCGCAGTCGCCAGACTAGGCAAGCTTCAGTAGGCCAAGTCCCTTGGCACATTCCACAGGAATGAGGGCGTGGCAATTTTCAACGGGCCCAGCAGCTGGAACGTTGCAGCAGGCACAGTCCCGTCCGGGACACACATTCAACGGCACCGGGGATTGGGCCAGTTCCAATGCGCTAAGTCTGCAAAGTGTTGGACCTTCAACTCATTTCCAGGCCCAACATAGAGGGTCCATTTTCAGGTCCATTACCACGACGACAAGCCTTTGCTGTGGTTCGTCTACGCGCAGGTGACAACCCTTCGAGGTAATCCTAGACGTCTGTGCATCAGTGTTTCATGTGATTGCATCTGGATTCTGGATTTGATCTTGGGTCTGTATTTCAACAGTTAATGGATGTACCGGCTGAGCTAGGCCTGTGCATGCACGACAAACGGTGAAAGCCCTCCCATCAGTGTTCTAAGGAATCATGTCACTAAGATTACAAAATAACAAAACAGTAAAAAGTGACAAAGATGAAAGGAAAAAATCGTTGTTTAACTGCTGGTACACCACTTATTTGTTCAAGTTTAGAACGAATTCGTAAATCATTTTGTCTCATTGCATCTGGATTTGGTCTTCGGTCTGCATTTCAACAGTTCATGGGTGTACCAACTGAGCTAGGCCTGTGCATCGGTGCATGTGCAACAAACAGCGAAAGTCCTCCCATCACAGTTCGTCTGATTGCATCTGGATTTGGTCTTCCGTCTGCATTTCACCGGTTCATCGGTGTACGAACTGAGCTAGGACTGTGCATCAGTGCATGTGCGACAAACAGTGCAAGTCCTCCCAAATCCGTCAAGATCGGAAAGAAGCAACCAAACATGCATCACATCAAACTTAAATTATTTAACCAATCAAATAATCGCATCTGCAAGAACCCACGGTTTTGCAGCACCAGCGAGTGTACCGCATTTTTGCGGTACTTTGCATGGTGCGACAAGGTTACGCAGTTTCATCAGGCATCCCAATTACCCTGTAAGAAAAAAGGGACAATGGGGAATACATTATCATTTTTAGACATTAAAAATAAAATTAGGAAAAAAAAAAAAAACTTTTTAATTTTAACAATTTTCTCCACTTTTCTCTCTCATTTTCTTTGGTTTGCTCAATAACCGACAACCCTCCAGTCCACTTATCAATTATCAAGACCCGCTGATTCGTACACATCAGGTTGTGTGGTTACTTTTCCGTTACCGTTCCGTTACTTTTCTGTTACTGTTCCGTTACTTTTCTGTTACCATTCCGTTACTCTTCTGTTACCATTCCGTTACTCTTCTGTTACCATTCCGTTACTTTTCGGTTACTTTTCTGTTACCCTTCCGTCACTTTGCGCTACCTTTCCGTTACTTTCCGTTGTTTTCAGTTATTTCTACTTTACTTAAAGCACCACTACATGGGCACCTCGGCCGCGGGCCTGACACCTCAAATTCTGGAGACGCAAAACAAAAATGCGACCGCCAATCGAATTTATCAACGGCAGGCCCAGCGTTTGACTTTCTGGCCTCGTTTTCTTGTGGCGACGAGTTTCCGACTGCAAGGCTGAGGCCGTGAACTTGTGGTTTAAACGGTTCAACCGCGAGGACACGGCCGCAGCATTGCAGGATTTCTTCATCGCCTACTCATAAAATTCCAGATGCTCGGGGCTACCAGACCACAATGCCTGGCAGCGCCAGCCAAAAAATAAGACAAAAGAAGTGTGCCGCTGGGCAGTTCCGCAAAGCTTGGCGCGCAGTGCCGCGCCACCACGCTCGTGTGTACTCGCGCCTTCACTTCTGTGACTTCCCATCAGTTTTCGTTCCCACATTTTTCAGTTATTTCCTTTCCTTTCCTTTCCTCTTTCTGTTACTTTCTCCATTATTTATTTACTGTTACTTTCTCTTGCTTGCCGGTTTTTTTTTTCCTGTTATTCCCCGTGCGTTACTTCATGTCCCCACAGCTCAGAAGAGGCAGCTTGACAGTGCAGGCCTTGTTTCTCTGATAATTTATAAACCACCATAGCCCCCGATATGGCTCCAAAACGTGTGCAGGATTGTGGCCGAAGCTGGTCGCGAGGTGTGCCAGTAGGCTCGGATGGGTAGGCAGCAGCGGCATATTTTGCAAAATGTCGAGGCCGCTGACTTTGGCATTGTTTTGTGCTCAGTACATAATTTCCGAGGAAAAAAATCTGAAAACAAAAAAGGAGGCCATAGATTGAGTGCTGATCTTTCTCGGGAAAATATTAGAAAACACGAAACAGAGATTTCTTCCTTCTGTTAAAACTTAAAAAGAACAACTCAGGTGGCAAAGAAATGCATTTTCGTCTTCCTGCTGCTACCGCCAGACCCACATCTTTTCGGTTCAGTCGGCCAGAGGCTCGGCAACCCAAAAAAAAAAAAAAAAAAAAAACGTGTCACCTCGTTAGAAATTTAGAATAGCATCACGGGCAGTTGTGCTCTAAGGAGAGAGGCCGGCAACAACAACAAAAAAAAAAAAAA